TTCGATAATTTATATCCATGTACTGATCCGGGATTTGCACTATCTAATATCTATGTAATTCCATGTTGAATAAACCTCCGTTGAGATTGAAAACTCAAGGATTCCTTAATAAAGAATCATTTGATCAAGTGTTTTCTCTTTGAATACCTATTCTGTTCATACGCGAATAAAGAAAGAATCAATGAGACTCTATACCAACTACTGTCAGTTGAACAATTGGTTATCCTTTACTTTGTATCATGACTTATTTGATCAACTTAGAGGATCCATTGTATTCTCTAGGATTGACTTACGGTCAAGATACTATCACATCTCTATTAAGAATGATGGACAAATTGACGATCGAGAATCGCTACCCTTTACTACGTATAGATGATTTGTTCGAAGAACCTGTTTGTTAAAAGCTATAGACATCTCGACCTTGTTGAATGAAATGATGCCTTGCTATGAAACGACTAATGATTTAAGGTGAACAAACCTTCTATAGTGTCAATCCCTCCAGGAAGTACAATGAAGGCTTTCACAATATGATTCATCTCGAAATACTTATAGTAATTGCTGGAGACGGTGTACTCCGCACCATATGTTGGTCCATAGACCCCTCGTGTTGCTATATACCCTGGTATGAAACCTCTGACTCTACCACCATTATTATAGACTGTTGAAGCTACAGCTCCTTGAAGGCCAACGTTGCCTCCTCCGTAGGTAAGTCTGATTTTTCGCCTTACCAATTCACGTCCTAGATCAACCGCTGTAGCCATGAACCTTGGATTGCTACCAAGAGCATGACTACCAAGTAGACCAACGAATCTTATGGTATTAGAAAGAGCTTGAGAAGTTCCTTCCATTATGTGAGAATGTGAGACGCTCTTGCCACAATTTGATATATATAGACTCTGAAACTAGACCATTGATGGATAAGTAATTATCACCAGCTTAAAAACATACAGGAAAATGGATTCGCTCAAGACAAGAATATACTTGCCAATACTACAGTCTACTGACGACATGACATATTGAGACTCATGAATAGTTAGGCTCGTTGTCCTGAAATACATTCAAATCCGAGACGAAAAGTCAAAATGACTACTTCCCTAAGAGAATGACTCTTTGAGTAATTTCCAAAGGGTGAAACATTGAGTGATAATTCGCAAATGTTATCTTTGTATCTTGTGACTCGCATCCTTGAAATACTAAAATTTGCTGTGTTAATTACACACTTGAAGCATCTCACTTGATCAATCTTGAAAAGATTGAATTCCATTTTCTGTATCAAATCATTAAGAACTTATTTTAACTCATGATTCTCCATCAAACCCGAAAAGATGTTTTATGATGCCAATCTTAAAAAAAAACATACTCTCTGAACTACTAAATAGTTGATGCGATTACGTTATCGATGAAAATTATTATTAATGATGATCAAGAAACTCTACTTTGACCCTAACAAAGGAATATATGTGCAACAACTAGAAAGGAAAAGTTGTCACTTATGTGATGAATACGACCACACTGAAGGTGAATGTGATCCCTATCCAAGTCAATTGGGCAGACCATCAAGAAAAACCACGCATATGTCAGTAGAATCCCAAACATATTAGAATATGACTATGTGTATAATTTGTCATGTTTTTAGTAATAAGTAATTTAACTATTGTGTGATGAATATTAGTGATATGACGAATACACTAATATTATAATTTTCGAGCACGAAGCTCTATCATAATTATTGAGAAAGTTGGAAATTCCAAGGCAATTCTGGAATTATCAATAAGAAAATCAATATTCAAGAATGACTACATATCATATTGATAATACAAACAGTGACAAAATAACAAGTGTTATCCAATACGTTCATCCAATAATTACAATGTGATAAAAACATATATTATTGTTATACATAAGTGTGATATGCATGTTTACGGTTATAGACATGCATAAGCCATGTAAAATCAGATTGTTGACATTACGTTAGTCAGAACAACTCCATTAAGGATCGATAATGAAAGTTCAAGTTTTGAAACTATAATTTCATATTCATCTAAGAAACCTAGAATGATGACTATGGTAATAGTCATTTTCCAAAATACCGTTATGTAAAAAAAACGTCAAACCTCGAAATAATTCGTTCCAGCTTGTAAATAACGAAGCGTAATTTGTGAAACCAACATTCCAGACAAACTCGTCTGAGGATGATTCTAGAAGAATTTCAAAAAAACGGAAAATTTTGCAAGTTACCCACATTCACGAAACATTTTGTTAAAAACTTATTTTTATGGATAGGTCTCGAAGAGAAGAATCCAACGGTACATTTTATGAATCAATCTGATTTATAAATTTGAAGTTATGACAATTTTAAATATTAAAATTTGTAACTTTGACCCATAAAATAAACTCAATTCAAAAGTTATTTCATAAAATTAGAAATCTTAATTTTTGACACTTGACAACACCATATTTATCATTTGGATTTAATCCATATATTTATATCTCATTCATATTATTAAATTGATTTATGACTGAGACAAACCTGAACACTGAGAAAAATAAAAGTTCTCAGAAAAATATTTTGATTACATCAAAATTCTAGTTTTGACAGTCTGATTCCAAAAACACAATCTGTTTTCAATTTGGAACAATTTGGGCGAAAAAGCGCATACCGTTTGGAATAAACTGTTCAGTTTTGGCAAGAAGCCAAAACTTTATTTTCCCAAATCCCTCCCAACATCACGTAGCCAACCTAGGAGATATCCACAATCTCATTATAATCCTCCACTAACTTCATTAATACAATACTCCAAACTAATTATATAATACTCCCAAAACCACTATTATCATTATTATCATCATGTTCCACCATCATCCATCCACATGCATCCACCTCTCTCCATCTCTCCCTCCCTCTGTCGGCAGCAACAAGAAGAAGAAAAGAAAACTCCAACTCCATGGTAGTATGTTAAGGAAGAAGAAGAAGGAGCAAGAAAACCATTCAAGTGTCCAAATCCTGAGCATAAGACAATCAGTCCACTTGTGAGTCAATTCTGAAATTTTCCGTTCATTTTCTCAAAATGTTTCTTTTATTCGTATGAAATAAAAAGTTTCCTTTTTTAAATATATATATATATATATATATATATATATATATATATATATATTTATTGAAAGGAGGTATTTTATTAAATTGCAAAATAAAGAAAAGTACAAAGAAGGGAGGACTAGGCCAATGCCCCTCTGAAAATTGCAAGGAAAAACGATTGAAAAAGGGAAATTGAATGAAATCAAAATGAAAAAGATCATTCCCAGATTATAAAACCCGGGTGTTGATCGAGGGAGAGATTTCTGGGCATTATTTTCTTCGGTCTTTTCCCATCAGTGCCAATTGGACCAACGGGCCTAACGTACCAAAAGGGTCCAGAATAACTTTGGGTAGTAACTATTTTCTCCATAGTAGTAGATTTGCGACTAGGCCAGTATCTCGTGATCTCGCTCACAGTCCCTACTTCGAGATTAGGATCATAGCTTCTGGTTTTGATGGTCATTGGCATAGCTTGCTTCTTTTTACTTCTTCTATTCTGGACTTCTTGGAATTCATGAGTTTTGAGGTTTTCATCATTGTGGTTTGACGTTTGTCCTTCCTCATTGTAAGACCTAATTTCATAATGTTGACCTTCAAGCTCAAAAGAGTGGAGGATCGAACCTATGTTGGTATCTGGAATGTTTGGTGATGTGGTTTCCTTTGTTGTATCTTCAGCCATCAACGTTATAGTCCCTGTTGTGTCATCCTTCTCTATCTCGGTTGGAGTGTGTAAACCCGTCTCCACATTCTCGGTTGGAGTGTGTACATCCTCCTCAATATTCTGTCTTGTGAGTACTGGAAATTCATCCAAGTTGATTGTATTTCCTACACAGTAAGCATTTTGGGCAGTCATACCATCCATGCTTTCCTCAATTATTTGTTCTTGTGTATGTTCCAAATCTGCTTCCTTAGTTAGCTTTTCCATATCATATTGGGCCTCAGCTTCTGATTGCTCATCTACTTCATAAGAAACAGTAGCATCAGTGGGATCACACACTCCATCCTGATTAACAACAGCTGCAGTATTGGTAGTTAACAGTTCTTTTCCAGATTCATCACTAGAATTTTGCACGTCATTGTGGCTATCAGTTGGAAAATCACTTTGAACATTTAGAGCTTGAGTATTGGGATTGTCCTCTTTACAAAAGGCAGTGAGGTTAATCTCCATATCTTCTTGAGGTGTGAGTTCATCTCCCTTAGGATCTGGGGATAAATCCGAGACATGATGGTCTACCTCTGACTTCTTATGTCCTGCAGTGCTTGGGTCAGTCACGTTCATATCACATGAAGTTTTGTTGTCAAGTTTGGGACCCAACTCACATGGGATATTGAGAATGGGCTCTATCATCACAGCAGCTGTTTTTGGCAAATTTTCCTTGGACACTTCATGCTTGGAAATGGGGCACCAGGTTTTTGACAAGTTGTTCTTGGACAATTCATTCTTGGAAATAAGGTTGTCCATACTTGAGCATTTTCCATCTAAATGACCGGACTTTTTACACTGAATGCAGAATTCTGGTAGTTTTTCATAGGTTACCGGTTGGAAGAATCCCAACCCGCCATTATCAATCCATATTTTCTTTAGGAGGTCTTTAGAAATATCAATCTCGACGCAGAATCTGGCCATTGATGGTCGAGTTTTTGCTGCTGTAGATGCATCCATCATTAATGGGTGACCGATGGAGCTCGCAATAGAGTGCAAGGCCTTAGCTTCTTGAAGATGGATGGGCAGATGGGTTAGAGACACCCAAACCGGAAAAACAGAGCTCTCAGAGTCAGCATGGAAAGAAGGGGTCCATTTGGTCACCACCATCTGGCTTCCATTGTTATTCCACAGCCTTCTTGAGAAGCAACGTTGATAATCAATTGTGCATTCAAAATTTATAAGAATCAGGGAAGGAGATAGTAATCCAACGGTGAAACCTGGTTTGAACCCTATCTGCTCAAAGCTTTTACGGATAACCTCTAGAGGAGGTCTTGATTTCAAGAACCGACCCACAAGTGCGAACTGGTATGGGATTGAAAGGGAAATTACCTCATCTGGGGTGAAGGAAACAGCAGGGAATCCTCTGTATCTTCCGATTCTATTCTGGGCTTCGCTTGGTTGAGATCTCAGGATGTCTGTGAAGGTCTTTTTGATAGCCGGGCGTTGGCGATGCGAGCCTCGATCCGAGGGTGTCTGCATAGCTTTTGTCACCTGGGCGATGAAGATGAAGGCCAGGAGCTTGAGAAGCCATTGGGAACGGAAGGGAGCGGCGTTATACGGCGGAGAATCCATTGTTGATTGCAGAGAGTTGTTTAGTGAGAGAAGCCATGTGTTATCTATCAATATATATATATATATATATATATATATATATATATATATATATATATATATATATATATATATATATATATATATATATATATATATATATATATATATATTTGAAGAGTCCTTTTATTAAAGAAGAAACACCAAGTACAAATCCAAGAAGAAAATCAAACTACATGCAACATTCTTCTACCATTAATCCTGAAAAGGTTTAACCCCCAATCTGCAAAACACCTATCTTTAACCAGCCACCTCTTACGTCGAGAGGCCCAACTCCAAGCTTGTACGTGATATAAGCATCTTTGAATGATCATTTCTTTAGTCGTGGTGGATCCCTCAAAAATAGCTTGATTTTATGCTTTCCAAAGATGCCACGAGATAATTCCCGGCAGGACTAATCTAAGAATACCCTTAAGTGAAGTTGACTCAGAACTAAATCACTCAGGGTATCCTCACAAGTGCAAAATAAAAATAAAATCTACCATTACGATTCATGCACGTACTTCCCATTTGAATCTACTACAACTTCATCCTTTTCTGTAATTTACTCCCCCTTAGGATTTGCATCAATACCACATCTTGCTTCAAAAAGTGTGCTAATTCTTTAAGAGATCACCACGATTGTTTGCAACGAACCACCCAAAGATCATGCTAATAACTTAAGCTCAACCGCTCTGATACCAATTGTAAGTTCGTGGGGGCGCAGCGGAAATCACCAATTAAGAACTATGCAAACAAATCATCGAACTATGCTGCAGAGAAGACGCTGCATCACTGTCACAATAACAGATGACGGACGGTGTGCTATAACACTTCTCTGTCACAAGCACGCACACAGAGGCAGATGATGCAGAGAGCGTTACAGCGCCTACTGGGCAGAATGCTGTAATTATAAAATGCGTAAAAAATGACACCAAATATGTTTACTCAGTTTGGAGCAAAATCTCCTAATCTGCGGGGCCCACGTCCGCGTAATAGCCCTCCACTAAATCACTAGATGCAAGTTACACCAGTACATAACAACATGATGAGACACACTTCTCCGAATTGTTATGACAAAACTTCTAATCTAGGATTTCTAACCCGAACTCTGTTCAGATCCACTTTGGCTATCACATCTCCACCGAGATCACGAGGACAAACGTGTTTGTAGCCCACTCGTTCAGCTCTGGTTCAACTCCTAGATATCACGATCTGTTTTTCGTTGTAGGACTCCTTCTTCATGTAGATCGTAAGCTTCTTTACGCATGGGAAGCTCCGGGACGCCACGGGAATGCTCTACATCAGCGTATATTCTTTGTTTTCCCTCTCAATCGCTCCAAGTAATTCCCAGGGACCTGCTACGTTTTTATAGGCCTCTCTTAACACAATCCTAGTAGGAATAGGATAATAGAAGTTGGCTTGAACTCTACTTCCTTAATCTTGATCCACAAGTAGCCTAAAGAGTTGGGATTCCTTAGCATGTACAGCTGGAGTTGTTATCATGTAATCACAATCCCAATAGGTCTCTAATTCAGATTGCAGCTTAAAATCACGTGCTCAGAACTCTGATCCCGAACAAGGTGTTGCAGCATCGTGCTGTAGCATCTTCTGTGTCAACCTCGAAAACTGCAGCAACTCTAGAAGTCTAAATAAATTAAACCTCTCCTAACAAATAGAGGTTTCTACCTAGTACAACACCTAACAAATATGAGATTCTATTTTGCCAAAATATTAGCCAACACCATGGAACCAACAGTACCTGCGTGCAGTTAAACACTACACGCTCAGCATAAGCTGAGTGGCAAATAACCAGTAGACATATATAACATGTAAATATATTTTGGGCCTTTAAGTTGTTCAATTTATTTCAAAAAAAACTTTTTGCATAATTAAAAATCATCGAAGAAAAATTTCACTTTGAATAGTTACTTGGGGACATTTAGAAAACTTTTGACTTACTAGGTTAACCACAGATTAAAGACTAAGCCGTGACTAGGCTGGAACCCCACACTAGTCGATACGTAGTTTTACTTCGGATACCTCTCTGTGACCTCGGGTACAGTAATCAGAAGGGAACCCTAGACCCACGGAGTCATCTTCGAGTTCTCGTGCGCACGTTGTGGTATGATTATTTATAGGCTCATCCACATGGACACGGTCCGACCTTGAAAGTGGTTGGACCCACTTAATAAAAACGTGACAATACCTGGTCAGGGTACGTCGTTAAGATAACCATGAAGGTTTTGCTTCGTCCACTAACTGTTGGTTAACCTTTGTATTAGCATTTAGATAAATCACTTTTAATAACTTAAAACGCATTCCTTTTCGAAAATCATTTAACATTCAAAGTCCCCCTTCCATCTAAAACATCCAATTGTTATGCAAACAACAAAACTTTTTTTCACCAATCAGAAGTGCATAAATATACACCCGTTATAATTGACCCTTTACAACACTCACTTGTTATCTTCTGTTCATAATGTCACCCACCTTATCAAATCAATTAAGTTGCATTCTACCTATATAAAAAAATGGTAATAATAATAAAAGTGGGAAACAAGCAAATTTTAAAGTGTTACACCTTTTAGTTCGGCACATCCAACATTTTGACACATACTAGTTTCATTTCCTTCGCAAAGTTTCATTTTAAAGTGTCAGTTTCATTTCATTTGCACATCCAATCCTTTTGTCATATAAGAGTTTGATATATATATATATGTGTATACATTTATTCAAATAGTAGGTTTACTCTAGTTAATTTTTTAAAAAAACCTTCGGCCCTTCTTTATTTATAAAGCCAGACTGCTTTTTTTAATAACAAATTGTTTTTTCCGTTAAAGCTACTGCCGAATGAAAAGTCATTATACTAATCTTTTTTTTGTTATCAATTATTTTTTTCCTTAACCTTCAGTTATAACCTTTTTAAATAGAAACGATAATAATGGTACTAATGATGATGATGATGATGATAATAATAATAATAATTAATAATAATAATAATAATAATAATAATAATAATAATAATAACAATAACAGTAACAATGATAATAAAGCATAGAAAGTTCATTCTTTATCCATTACTGAAAGTGTGTAGTTACACTTTTCTTTCTTTTTTTAAGCCAAGCGAAATTTTATGTGCAACATTTATATATTTTTTTATTATTATGATTATTATATTCTCTCTTTTAATTTATTATCTAAAAGAGTAAATTCATTTTAATAAAAAAATAAAAGGAAATGTACAAAAATATATTAACATGAAATATATATCTAAAGGTTAGGGTCAACGGCACACCTTTGATATTAGTTAGATGAAATAATAGATTGATGAATGACGACGTTGCAAGATGATCATCTCGTAACATCATTTTTTCAGATAGTATAGAACCAAAACTAATTTTATTGCGTTTACTCATCCACTCTAACAATTTAATCATTAAATCTTGTATTCTAATTTTTTTTAAATAAAGAACAGTGACATATTTTTAAGGAACTTTTTTTCATACTTAAATTTTAAACATTTTTTTCCATTTTTTTAATTTTATTATGTAGTAAAAAGTTAAAAAAATTCTAGACCGGTTTTCAAGACGTTATAATGAACCTATTAGTGTTTGTTGAGTATGAGATTGTTGTTGGTTTGATGCTAGAAAAATGAAACATGTATGAATATGGAATTTGTTACGTCAGACAGTAGGCGGTACCGCCAGGATGGTAGTTCCGTAGATTGAACCGTACGGTACCTCTTCCGGTAGATTGAACCGTACGGTACCTCTGCCGGTAGATTTAGCCTGTTGGTTGCTTTAGCCTCTGCCGGTAGATTGAACCGTACGGTACCTAGGTACTAGATAGACGGTAGGCCCTACCGCTTGGTCTGTAGAAGGCTACCGTGGTAGTCCTACCAAAAGGGTTCATTAGATTCAGACAGTACCCCAGTACCGTAGGACCAGTACCCAGGAACCGTGAGGACGGTACCCCGTACCGTGACAGGTACCGTCTGGAACCTGGTGCCAGGTTTGTCAATTTATGCTTTTGTCAAGGATTGATTCCGAGACTTTGTATGTTGCATAACGGTAAACATGGGTGTCTACACCAGTGTTAGGCCGCTATTTGATTATGTTAGATATCTTGTTAAATGCATTGTGGATTTATGAATGTTGTATTATGTATTGATTAATTAATGTTGGATATGTCACCTAGAAAACTCTAGGAAATGACTTGAATGGATTAGTGGCAAGGTATGCCATAAGTATAGTAAGTTAGAGCCATGTGGTACCTGCTGGGTCCAATGGCTGTTCGGGTAAATACGTGTACACGGGGATCTAAGAACCGTCGTTCCGAAGGGGAAATGGATCTCACCCACCCAACGAGGAACTCCAGAGTTGGTTTGAGCTTGGCCTTCATTTCGAAGGGGAAGGTCATGACTCCATATGCAAGTCGAATTCAGTTAAGCTTTAACCTAGTATAGGTTAAGAGCCAAGTACGATAAGGAGAGTAGAGTAAACTAAAAAGGAACGTTCCTAAAACTTACACCTCTATTGTTTGTATCTTATGAACTGTTATGACTTGATTATGCATGTTATATCTTGTATGCCGTATGATTGTTGCCAAGCATGTTGTGTGCATGATATCATGTGATGATTATGAATTAGTTGATTTGCCTATGTGTATGTTCGAACTGTTAGATATTTCTTACTCAGGTTCATTGCTGAGCGTGGAGCCCCTTTTTCCCCTTTGTTACACGTAGGTGGTTGTGAAAGATTGATTCTAGAATCCAACCCTGAGAGCAGCATGACGGAGGGGATGTATGGATGCAGAGATTTAGTAAAGCTAATATTTAATTAAGTTATAAGGCTTCCGCACTGTTTGTATAAACTCTGATATGTATTTAAATTTTTTTAAATTGTTTGAATTTTGAACTAAATGTTTTTAATTCTTCGGAAAGTATTGTATGTGGATACCAATTTAGTAGCAACTCGGGTCGCTAACCTATTTATTCGGGTTATGCTGGT